TATTTATGTGCAATGTGATATCGTGCCGCGGTCGCTAGCGATGAATTGGAACCTGGTAAATAGACAAGAGGGGTCAGAATTTCATATATATCAAATAAGGATTCCCTTTGTCTTAGCGGTACTGACGCGAGTACATGAAACCTATGCGGCGAAGGAATAACCACTGCCTCTATTATCTCGTAATATTTTAAGAGTGACTCCGTTGGTGTATGTGGCAACTGGAGAGTGGAGGGTAAAAGCAACTGGATGTTCGTTACAATTTCCAAAAGTTTATGGGGTGGTATGAGATCTGTTGATAATCTACCCCCCACCAGAGTATCGACCGCTCTTGTTATTGCATCTATGGTTGACTGTAGCTGATCAAATGCAAGTGTGAGACCATTTATGGCTAAATATGAGTTAAATATTTAAATTCCGCCAAGGTATAACCCTCAAAATCTTCCAATCCCCTGGTTATATATTGCACACGATCGGCGATAAAATTACTGTGATCTACTACTTCTTTCAGCAGTTTAGTATTTAGCTCTGTATTTATACGAGTTAAATTTATGATTGTTATGCTGTCATCCAAAATAGCCGAAAGATGGGATTGGGAAATCTGCATGTCGTTAAGTTGACCCTAAAGGTACTCGATATCATCCTCTGTAGCGTACGCATCTCCTACCTATCAACCATTTTGCTACGCGTTCTATATATATAAGGAAACATCTAACAGGTAATTAAGTGATTGATAATATAATGAGGAGTGCCCAGGGTGTAGAAGAGATCCTCGCACTACATCTCGGGATTCTGGCTTTATATAGAATGGTGCGGTCTCACCAGGGGGCGCTAAGCTTGTTGTAGAGAGTCATTGTCTCACCAGGTGGCGTCGTGTGCTGTGACGACAGGCGGCGCTGTGATTTGATGGGCTGCTCATAGACAAAAATTCCTGCTGCAGATTTTATATGAATAACAATGAGGAAACATATGACAAGCGATCGATTAAGTACTTGATATGATAAGTAAAAAGATTTTTAAATTATTCGAACATGAGCACATTTATGAAACGTGGAAAAATATGATGCATAATCTAATTAAGTTCAGTTAGGATTGCATAGCTGAGCTAGGCCCCACCTGCCCTTACAGTTACACCCACCTTTAATCGCAGAGTGGTGGCTCGTCAGTGATTCTCCATGGAAATGTCAAAATACAACATGATTAAATAAACAACTCGGGCATTTAACCATTCATTGCTGATAAATATTGATAACTGTTCATATGAATCTCTCCCTCTCCTCTCTCATCTCTCTCCCGTCTCTCCTCTCTCTCTCCTCTAATAAAACTATATCATATATAGAATATATAGAGAAGAAGAAGAGAGAGAGAGAGCGAGCGAGACCGAGACCGAGAGAGCAGAAGAGCAGAAGACAGCGAGACCGAGAGAGCGAGCGAGAGAGAGATCCCAGAAGAGAGCGGGGAGGGCGGTACAGTAATTAATTGATATCAATTTCCTCTATGACACCTCCGTCGTCGCAAGCATTAATCTTTTACCTAAGGAAAATATATAATATATAGTTGCAGGCCCCGTAAGCCAGCTTTATTGGGGGGCTCGTGCTTTCAATGTTGGCAATTGCCGCAGGGCGTGTACAGGAGATACCAGGGGGGTCTCACCCGTCACGCCCGAAGATTGCGCAAGCACAGCGAAGAGGGGGGTCTGGCCCTCCCCCATAAATTTCTAAAATTACACCCCCCGTCAGATGGCCGTTCTGGCCGCAGCAAGGTGGGTCCGCGGACTCCCGCGACCCGCCCCGTACACGCCCCCCCTGCCGGCCGAAGCGACAGCGAGCGGAGCCCAGCGACCCGACGCGGCAGGGAGGTGCGGGAGGGGCGGTTCACTGTTCCCGTCCGCCCGATGGAATATTGCAAATTACTTACAACTAAAATAGGAGCGACCTAGTGAAATTTCTTGCCAATTACAAAAAAAAATTTTGCTAGGGCCGCGGGGGTTCGACGAACCGACGCTCGAACCGCCCCACGAACCCCGCCCCCTGGCACGCCTGTAGTTGTGACGCGCGCCCGCGTCGCGTGCGATCGGCGCCGTCGGTCAATGACCGTCGTACTAAACGACAGGGCGCATATACCATAACCACATGTGCAGTAAACGATGTTAGCGCGCAGCACAAATCCTATAAGGCCGCCAGCGGGCTTATTTCCCACCACCATTTTCGGCTTCGCCTCTCCACTTCTGTCGCTCCCCAAATCTTCCTTATCCCCCGCGGAATACACTACTCTCGCCTTTCATCCAGGTCTTACTCCCCTCCTTTCACGCACCTCCCACTTCCTCCACGGGTCTCTGCTACCGGTAGATAAGACCATGTCATGTCCCCGCGCTGCCGTCCGACGCAGAATTCTAGTTGCATCCTCGACATATTTCATGCTATTTTGAATAAAATCTTATTTAACATAGCTTAATATTAAAGAACCTTGAAAAACCATTTTCTCAGCTCATCGCCTAAACGCTACTGAAGCAAAACTATGGATAAGGCAGATAAAAAATGCAATTCAATCGGCCCAGCAAACCTAACT